GACTCCAGCTTCCAGAACTGTGAGAAAGTCAGTGTCTGCTGTTCAAGTTGCTCAGCCTGTGGCGTTTTGTTCTAACAGCCCAGCTGACTAAGATAAATGGGAAGGAAGGGGACCGAGAGTGTAATTTAGACAAATCCATCAGGGCAAGATGTTGGTCAGAGGAAGTTTGTCCAGGGAGCCTCACCTCTCAGGAAACGAGAAATGCTTCTGCTGGAATGAAAGGGCAGGTAGGGAGGTCCGGAATTTGAAAAGACAGGTGGCTATCAGGGAGCACCTCTGAGAGCCAGGGGTGAGGAAAGTGAGGCAGGACATGGAGGACTTTAGAATCAGGAGACCTTTTGAATCTTGGCAGCACAATGGGCTGGGCTGCAGGACAGGATTAAGCAGGGATGCCCTTCCCCTTAGCATCCATCAGACATGGACTGTGGAGGCTGGGTGGGCCCAGGGTGGTCTGATTTTCTCAAGTCTGCACCAAGCACAGCAGCCTTTTGCGGAATGTAAGAGGGTACATAGGATCTGAGTGTTGTGGGTTTTACCTTGGGCTGTGGGTTGTCCCAGAGCCTGAGTGGGGTCAGCAGTGAGAGTCTTGGCCTTTAGTGGACAGGGAAGCAGGGGCCACTGGAGGAATCAAATGGTGGCAGAGCTCTAATCCTAGAGAGTAAATCTGGGCTTTCAAGGAGGGTGTCAGAACAGTGGCTGAGCCTTCCCTGGGCATGGCAAGAAATTGGGGGTAAGGATGGGTAAGAACAATGGAGCAGGATGGAGGGAGGAGAGCTCTGTGGGAACCCCAAAAGGTGATGCCACAGCCGAGAGAGGACTCCTCTGGATATTTGAAGAATTGGTGCCTCTTCCTAGTCATTTGATTTTGTGAACCCCTAAGCATATCTCTGGTCCCCCTTAATAAGTATATAATCTGGTGATTGTTTTAGGTTTCATAAGGAGTTGAGATGAAATGAAAATTCACATCACTTAGATGCTTGGGAAAGGATTTTAGGATGGCCCCTTGGGCACTAGAAACCCAGAGTGAGACTCTACAGGAGCAGCTGGTTGAGGTCCTCAGATGTGTGGCAGAGATCTCATGCCACCCTGTCCAGCCAGGTAACCTTGAGCAAGTACCTTCACCTATCTCCAAGTCTCAGTGTCACAGTAAGGATAATGACTGCTGATGTGAGAATTAAATCAGATAGTCTCAGAGGGACTTAGCAGAGTCTGGTGTGAAACTGCAGCTCAATAAGGAAGCCTTCATCACCATCACCACCACCATTCTCATCATCACCACTATTCATTTATGTTAGTGGTATATTAACATTTTTATTTTGAAATTCACAAGCACTTCTTGAGAAAATTAGGAAGTGATTTTCATGTATACACAAAAAAAATTCTCCAGCAACCTTCCTCTGAAGAGTCATCAATAACATGCTCCCCAGGTAACTCTCGTGAGCCTGCCACAGGTATGGTCAGCCACTAGACCCAGATGTACCACAGACAGGGGCAGGGGCCACCATGTGCCAGAGGCTTCTATGTGTCAGACCACTACTTGGAGTTTTTATGTTTTCTGAGCCATCAACTAGGGAGGAATGAGGATAGGAGAGGGAATGATGGGAAGGGAGGTCAGAAAAGATCAAGGAGCCTGTTGCTTGCAGAAATCTTTTTGTCTGTCTTAGAAATAGGTTTTTGTCACATACACCTGTTTCTGTCCTTTGACTCATATCCCTGTCACCAGTCCCATTTCCCTGAATGCAATATGCAATGAGCTTCTATTGTGAGCCTGAATAATGTTATTTCCCCTGGAATGTGACAGCCTTTAAGGAAATGGACCTCATACAGGGGCACTTTTGTCTTCCCTGCCCCCAGAGAATAGTTGCCAATGTCTGCAGACATTTTCTGTTGTCACAACTTTGGAGAGATATTCCTGGTTTCTAGTGGCTAGATGCCAGGAATGCTACTAGACGTGGTACAATACACAGGACAGCCCCACAATACAGAATTATCTGGCCCTAAATATCCATAGAATGTGTTATGGTGTAGATCTTAAATGTCCCACAAAGGCCTATCTGTTGATGGCTTGGTCTCCAGCCTGTGGCACTACTGGGAGATGGTGGGGCCTTAGTTGGAAGAAGTTAGACTATTAGGGACATGTCCTTCAAGAGACTATTGGGACCATGGCCCCTTCCTGCCTCTCCCTTTTCTTCTTGTCCACCATGAGTGAATGTGATCCTATGCCATGTGCTCTTGCCAAGTGTGTACTGTGCCCACACAGGCACAAAGCAACAGAGCCAAGCAACCATGGATTGAGACCTCCGAAACCATGAGCCAAAATAAACCTTCCCTCCTGTGAGCTGTTTTGTCCCAGTGATGGAAAGCTGAGTAACACAGTCCAAGTTAAGAAACCTGCTTCAAGGCAAAAGCAGCCCCACCCACTCCACTGAACTCATTAAGGTTATCTAGTTGGCAGTTTGCTTGGTGCCATGGATTAGAAAGTCTTACCCTAAGTGACTCTTTCCATGGCTTGACACATTTATGTACAATTTGGCAAGCCATGATCACTTTCAAGATTGTTTCACTCCTTGTCGCTCTATGAAGTGGCCACAGTTTAAGACATTCTCCTGTGGGCACCATCAACATTCATTCATTCATTCAACACATACACGTTGAGCTCCTTCTTACAGTGGGACAGGCTGCTGGGTTAAAAGACTAACAAGAGGAAGTCTCAGTGCTCAAGTTCCAGCTGTGTGCATGAGGAGATGAGAGAGGACCAGATGTTTTAGTAAATAATTACGGTAATGTTCTAGGTGAAAGTTCTCACAAGATTTACCATAGTGGGTATAGGAGAGAGAGAGAGAGAGAGAGAGAGAGAGAGAGAGAGAGAGAGAGATTGATTCTCACTGCTTCTTAAAACTGCCTCAGAAAACTTCCCCCTTTGGCCATTAACATTTTTTGATTTTCACTTGCAGGAGACCCTTCCACATCTCCCTGAATGGAGAGGCGGGATATGTGTGTGTGTTGGGGGAAGGGGTAGGAATAAGCAATTTAGTCTCAGCGCCTACTCTTTAGGAAGATGCGTCTGATCTTCCTCAAGGGGGAGTCCCAAGTGAATAAAAAGTTGTTTTTAATATCCTTGAATTTCAAAATCAAATGTCTGACCACCCAGAGTCAAACAGAAGGAAAACAAGATTTCAACAGCTGGGAAATACTCCAGCCGAAGTAGGTCGATCCCACTCTAATTTATTAAAGTGTTGTGCCAAGAAGTATGAAATACAACGTCAGGTCTGAATAAACCCAGAGAAGAACTGGAGGACCGCAATTTATACACAGGAAACTCTCTCTTAAGAATAATATGACACAGTACGTGGGTCTATGAAAATGACATCCAAATACAAGTAAGTGTCATGGACAGAGTCCCAGCAGGTTGGGAATCAAAAGATCTGGGTTCTAGTCCCGAATTTGTTACTAACTTGCTGCCTTGGGCAGTTCCCTTTTCTCTGTCAGTCTCAGTTTTCTCATCTCTAAAATGAGGGAATTGAACCACAGAATAAGGACCCATGTTTCCAAAGTACGCTGAAGGTTTGAACGAAGCAAAGATGTTCATTTTTCCCCTCTGTTTGATGCTGAGATGACCTGGGAGGTCCCCTTGGGGTTAAAATTTAAGCTGAACCTCAGTTCTGCTGCCCAGGTACCAGTTAGGACAACCTAGATTCCCAAGAAAGAAGCTACTGCCTCTCTCATTCCTAAATAACACACCTCCAAGCTGTATTTGGTTTTGAATTGTTCCCATTGTCCCGGATAGCATTTCCCCAAATTGGGAGTCCACATTAAAAGAGTGGGTGCTGTTGCTCTTGTGCCTTCCAATGCCAGTACTGCCACTGAATACAAGAGGCTCCAAGGTTACCTGGGAGTTGAGAGCGAGCCCCAAATTGCACTTTTGAATTGCAGCTGCTGGAATGCTACACAGATGTCAGAAAGATGAGCATCTCCCGAGTGTCAGCATGCCCATCAATGTCTGGAGTAGAGAGGTTCCTTATAATCAAAAAGGAGCATACTACAGGAAGGCAAAGTTGTCCAAAGCTAGGAAGGACTTGCCCAGGACAGTCACTGAGACTCAGAATTTGGTCCCTAATTGCTTTTCCTAGGCACATTTCTTGGAACACAGGTCTTGTGAGCCAATTTAGAATGTTAGTGGGAGGGGAGGGTTGTGGAATCTGCCACCCGGGGCCCCTTCCCAATTCCTTCCATCCTGAGAATCTGGATGCAACATCTCACTCACAAATCCCAGTAGCAGAAGACCAGGATTCCCATGAGTTTCTATGGGAAAAGGAAAACAAACCACACACCACGGCGCCTTCTCTTTTTGTTCCAGCCTCCTCTCTGAACCCGGTTTGTGGGGACCAACTAGCTGCTCCCAGGAGCCAGGAGACAGACATTAGGAAGCCAAATCCCAGAGGAGCGGGGGATGGGGAGCTGCAAACCGTCCCACAGCTTTTTGGGACTGTCCCATCTGTAGTTGGGCCTGTGTGAAAATGTCAAGGCTTTGGGACAGGCGAATGTGGGTTCCAATTCTCTGACATGAGGCAATATATTTTTTTTTTCCTCTCTGAGCCTCGGATTTCTTATCTGTAAAACGAGGGTGATAATAATCTGGAAAGGCGATTAGGAGGTTTCATTGAAATACTGGAGGCAAAGCATCCAGCACACTAGGCATTGCCAGGGGTGCCGTCAGAATTTCCGTCCAGGAGGGATTCTGCTGGAGGAAGGGTTGAAGTGTCTGGCCAGGGAATCTACCTTAGAGCCACCTTCTCCTATCGCACAGGCTGTTTGACTCTTTGGGGGAAGGGGGCCCCCCATAGAAATTATTGCTGGAGTGAGGGTGGGTTCCCACTCTTCAGCGGAAGATCTGCTGGTTTTCCTGCACTACCATCGAGGCTGAACCAGAGAAGCGGGAGGCTGCCAACCTGGTGTGTGTGTGGTGGGGGACCCCTGCCCGAGGGCAGCACGGTACTCACCGTGTGCGCGACGCAGGCGAGCATCAGCACCAGCAGTAGCAGCGGCGGCGACCCCAGGCTGGGGCGCATGGTGGCGATTGATGACCTGCAGGCGGGCGCCCCGACGGCCGCGGGCCTGTGAGCTCTGCCAGCTGGGGAACTCAACACCTCGTGCAGGGTCCCGGACCTTGGGCAGACCCCTCACCCCGAGAAGACATAGCTGGGCTACCGGGTCCGCGACGGATCTTAGGACTGCGGCTCCTCGGATAAGGTGGCCGCGCTGAGCCGCCTAGCCCACTGATAAGGACACCGCACTGCCTGCTCGCTTCCACCCAGCCCTCACTGGCTGGGGCCGGCGCAAAGGCTGGCAGGGGAGGAGGCAGAGGGAGGGCTCGGGGGCCTGGAGCCTCCGACCGACCGCAGGCTCGGCCCAGCCTTGATGGCTGCAGCCCTCCCCCTCAAGTCCAGAATAAACAATCTCTCCTACAAACTCAAGCCACAAGCTTGCTGGGCTCGTGGGCAACTCAAGCCACCTCTCTGAGCCTCAGTGTTCTTATTCCTAACATGGTATGGAGTAATACCCAGACTTGTTTCCAAGTAGGGGTCAGTGCATGCCTATTGCACTTATTCCCGTAGAACAGCTACCTGTTCCCATTTTCACTTTGTTTTTCTTCATTATTAAGGTTTTATACTCAGCCTGAGACCGTGGTGCACGCCTGTAATGCCAGTGACTAGGGAGGCTGAGGTAGGAGAATCACAAGGTTAAGGCCAGCTTTGAGACCCTGAGCAATTTAGCCAGACTCTGTCTTAAAATAAAAAGTGTAAAAAGGGCTGGGGATGTATCTCAGTGGTAAAGTGCGGTGGAGTTCAATACACAGTATCTCAGGTAGGTGTTATACTTGCTCATTCCAGAAAGTTTCACACACCCCCACCACCCCTTGAGGTCCATCACAAGAAGAAATCTTTGATGATCAGGTGAAACCCAGGAGGACCTTCTGGTACCCCTAGGCATTCTGGGACGATAAACTGCCTTGGAGGCATTGCATTTCCTGAGTCTCTTGGGGTTTATTGGAGTATTAGTCAGATACTCTCAGTAAGCCTGCTGGACCTGAGAGAGCCTCAGCTTGGCTGTCCTGGAGGTTGGCTTTTTTTTTTTTTTTTTAATTCTAATTAGGTATATGACAGCAGAATGCATTTTGATCCATTGTACACAATTGCAGCACAACTTTTCATTTCTCTGGTTGTGCAGGATGTACCATATGTGCAGTTGTACATGTACCTAGGGTAATGATGTCCATCTCATTCCACGATCTTTCCTGCCCCCATGCCCCCTACGATGCCCCCTCTTTGCCCAATCACAGGTTCCCCATTTTTCCCATGCCTCCCCCCCACCCCATTAAGGATGAGCATCCACTTATCAGAGAGACATTCAGCCTTTGGTTTTGGGGGGATTGGCTTACTCTTTTGATTCCATCAGTACAAGGTCCCTTGAATGGCTCCTTCTTATAGACACACAATTTTCTTTTCTTTCTTTCTCACACCCTCACACCCTGCCCTCCCATACTGGGGTTTGAACTCAGTGTCTTGCAAATGCTGGGCCAGTGCTCTACCAATGAGCTTCACTCCCAGTCATATCCAATTTTCTTTCTCTGCACTGGTGCCCACACCCTTACTCTTGCCTTTCCTCCTTCCTTAACCTTTCTCCCCTGCACTTTATGAGCTCATTGGATTCCACCATATCTCGAGGTGATATACCCTTTGGACAGAGGAGGGCATTGAGGATGGAGGAGGATCTACTACATGACTAGGTCTTTTTTAGCTCAGAAGCTTAAATGGGTAAGCCCTCTGCTCCAAGTGCTAAGCAGCTGTTAAAGCTACAATGTGCTCCAGTCCTTAGCCACCTGCCCTTCCAGAAGACACTATTATTGTTAAGGTGAGGTTGGTAGATACCAGCAGAAATAAAGGGGGAGCTGTTCAGCAATGTGCTTAATAGAATAACCTGAAGTGTACATGCAACCACCAACTCTCGGATGTTTTTCTACACAAATATTCACCCAGTGAAACAAAAGTGTGAGGATGTTTATGAAAAGTACCATCACAGCAGGAGAAAACTGCAGATAGTGTTTGTGGAAGAGGAACCCTGAGTTCTGTCCTGGATATTTTATTTCCTTTGGAGAGCAATCATTGATATAATCCTCCTGACCTCTTTTTACCTTTTCATTAACACGTACCCATGCACACAGGTATGCATGCACCCACGCATACACGGAGGTGAGGCCAGATCTACATGACTGCTGCATTTGGGATAAGGAAAAACTGGCAAGAGTTCTGCTCTCTCCCTTCTCATATCTTTGACAGCTCACCTTCCTACAAAGAGCCTGTAACTGGATTACCCAAGCTGAGACTAATTGGTAGTCAAGGCTCTGCCCTGTCCTTTTTCCCTAGTTGTTGGTCTAGTACCCTCAGTGGAGAATGGCTTGTCTACCTAATTCTTGGATCTAGTGTTAGAAACCCTGCTTGGCCACAAATATAAACTACATCCTCCAAGATTAACTTGATTACTAAATAAGGGTGATATTTTGTGCTAGGTGTATAGTATGCACAAGGTCCCGTATTCCATCCTGAGCACTTCAAAAATGGAAAAAAAATAAGGGGGGGGGGGTGGAGATCTTTAGCCCCGTCTGTCTTGCTTTTATTTCTGAATTGGTTCAAGATACAGACTGAAAGAAATATTATTTTCTAGGCTCCTTGTACCCCAATCCCCTAAGTGGGCATCAGAAAATGCATGAGCTATAGACTTACCAGTCTTACTATATAGAATTTGGTGTTGCTTGACTGTTTTCTGTAACAACTCTAGTTATCAATTTTTCAATTGAAAGAAATAAAAAGGAAATAACACCAAAATGTAATCTTTGCTCTACATCAGAGCCCTATGATGTCTCATGAAAGAGGAAAACAACATTTGTTCTGGACAATTCAATAAACGTTTGGCCTGTGGCAAGCCATTCATTGTAAAGCAGGAAGCTCCAGCTCTCAGAGAGATGAGAAAGGGTTTAAAGCATTCTGTGAAATGCTTGTACACTCCACGGATATAACCAGTGGCTTTGTAAAATCTGCCTGAGAAAACAATTTCATGATAGGGATGGAAGGGAAGGAGTGGGAACATAATAATATATTTACCAACTGTCATGTGCTAAGGAGTCTGGAAATTTGGGGAGGTGTTATCGTATTTGGTCCTCTAAGACTATAGCAGGGTGGGAACTGGAGCATCAGTGAAGGTGAGCACTAACCTCGATTAGCATAGCTAGCAAAGGGAGAAGCTGGATTTGAACCTAGACTGAGACCCAGTCTGTGTCCCATGCATTACCCTGAGGTTCCCCTCATTCCTGAAGATGATTTCTTGATCCATGGAGCTTCCAAAGTGCTTTTGCATCAATCTTCTCATTTCTTTGTAACTGCTGGTAGGACCAGCAGTCAGGGGCCTGGCAGGAGAGGGAGAAACCATTGTTCAAATGAGTTAATGAAAGTACCATGCACAGAGAGTAGAGAGGAACCAACAAGGGTCAGTGAGACACCAAGGATCAGTCACAGTCTCCCTGAAGAGTGACAGAGACTCTGTCCTTAAGCAAACTTTAGCTAGGCTCCCGAGTCATCTTCTCACCTGGGCCTCAGCCATAGCTCCTTCCTGTCATCATTCTCCCCGGACTGGTCTTAGCAAGAATCCTACTAAGTTAATTAATAAGAACTCCCATCCTACTCCTACCTGGTCATCATAACTGATGATAATTCCTAATCTCCCACCTTTGAGACGTAAGTTCTTGTCCTACCTTCAGCAGAATGTTATTTAGCAGGTTTAGCAAGAATTTACTCACCAGCCATGACATCTCCTCTTAGACATTTTCTATCAACTGACAGCCCCCCTCACTGCCCTGCTCCTTGGCTATAAATCCAGTTATTCTATTGTATTTTTACAATATTTACAATACAAAATATTGTATTTTTACAATAATTGCAATAGGGATGTGAGTCCCCCCCACTCACATCTATTGCAACAATCCTGACCATTCTAGCAAGCGTCAGAATAAATTTTTCTTTAACAATGGGCAAAAAGCAAAAGCAGTGTTCCCAGAAGCTAACAAGAGCTATTTTGGGGAGTGGAGTCACCCATAAGAGCTTAACAATAGATGAATGAAGGCACTGTCAAAAAGGTGTCCTGGCAAGGGGATCAGGTGATAGGATAAATACCTTCTTTTTTCCAGGGCATGCTTTTGCGATTATCTTGACAATTTTTTTTTTCTAATTTTGTAGTGCTGGGTATTGAACCCAGGACCTTCCAAACGCTAGGCAAGCACTCTGCCTCTCATTTATACCCCCAGTCATTTTTTTTCCCTTGATAAATACAGAAGCCTGCCCAGGTTCAAGGCAATAGACTCTGTTAGTCAACTTTCCATTATTATAATAAATACACAGGATAATCAATGTATTATGAGAAAAGGTTTATTTTGACTCATAGTTCAGGAGTTTTCCAGTCCATGATCAGTTGGTCTCAGTGCCTTGGGCCTGTGGCAAAGCAGCACACCATGGTGGGAGCACAAGGAGAAGCCAAACTGCTTACATTATGTACCAGGTAGCAAAGAGAAAGAGTTCAGGGTCCTACAATCCCTTCAAGGACACACCTGCAATGGCATAAAGACCTTCACTAGGCCCCACCTCTAAAGGCTCCACCACCTCCCAACAGCAATAAACATTTGTTGGAGAACTAATGTTTATTTGGTGAGTATTTGCTGATCACTTGTTCTGTTCCAGGTGCTGGGTGAGGATGACAGAAGCTTGTGGAAGTTGCCTTTTGTAACCTCAGCCCCATGCACAAAGCCAAGGTGCTGTGTGTACCACCCAGGATGCCCAGGAGGCCCAGAAAGATGACTGAGGCTGCTACCTAAGACTCAAATCACCACACATTGAACAACCTTTTGCTTGGCTGACATAAGCAACTGCAGAATATATGGTGCATGATATTGCAAATTGTGGTAGATTCTAGAGAGCATAAAGTAAAGGACTAGACAGCCGAATTAATGCATAGCTTGAGTCCT